ACACTGGCCTTTGCTGTTAACAACTGGGACAACTCACTTGCCCCACATGTATGTTATACTCTAGAATGGATGGTGGAAGTGTAAGAGCAAGTGGGAGTGCATAGGACTTTGAGATACATGACAACCTGAGAACTAGTACACCACTTTTGCCTCATTCTGTTGACCAAAGCAATTCACAAGACAAGGCCAGAATCAGTGAATGAGGAAATAGACCCCAATCTTTGGTTTGAGGAATTGCAGTCACATGACAAACAGTGTAAATAGAAGGAGAGGTGAAAATTTGGAGCAGTCTTTATAACTACCACACAGAATTGGGTTCTTTAGGTCTCTTACATTAGCTCTTGAGGTTAAAACATTAAAATTATTTGCTTTATCTTTCAGAAAATAAACATTTCCAGAATTATATAATACTATGGGCCAGTGACTGTGCTTGGTATCTAAAATTTTTAGGACAACCAAAGAATTAGATAACTTACCTTATTTTGGGGGATAAAGAAAACATTGAAAATCCCCTCTTGATTTTTTTATTGCTATATATAATCCTCCAGGTTCATTTTTTATATATGGAAATGCTAATTTTCATATTACATTTTTTAGCATTATGTACAAATCTCTCTACCTTCTTGCATCTGATTAGTGCTGTTTATTTTTTTAATAAAAATATTTATTTATAGAGGAAAGGTAGATTTTTCTTATTTATTTTCATAAATTAAAAAAGTATCTTTTCTTTTTTCTATATTATATTTTATCCAAGTATTAGCAGTTATTTATAGAGAATATTTTATTTTTGTGTTTTCTTTAAATTATAAAAGATAAGAGAGATATCCAATATCAAAGTGGGTTCATTGATGATAATAACATGTTTCTTATATGTAATTAAGTAAAAACGCATTAAAGGTTCCTCAAATTTTTAACCTTCATATTTTGAGAATTAGGTTTTATGATAAGATATTCAATAGGATTTAAATTTAGAAAAAGAATTCTCTTCATCTTGTTTTCATGTCACTTTGGTATTACAGTGTTTTAAAACTCAATTCATTTTCTTGGCATTATTGTAGAGAGGATGGCACTGTTAAGTTTATTAGAATTATCTGATGAATTTCAGTAAGACTCTGGAGAGTGGAGATGACATGTTTTGATTGAATTTGATTATATGCTTAGTATTGTTCTGATGATGCTGGATAAATATTACTGTGGCTGCAAGAGAGCTGAGAGAGCCATGCACCCCCTGTCGCTTGATACCCCCTACGTCCAAGCATGTCATTTCAACAACACAGCCATAAAGCCCAAAGAGCTGACAGTTGGCTTGCGATTATTCCTAGACCTCAGGCTCCCTCATGTTAAGTATTAATCAACTCATCTCACCAACTTATCATTAACTCAATTTGACCCATGGGAGCAGAGATGAAATCTTTTTGGCAAGACTAATGATTTTATGAGATTGAAAAGAGGTACAGTGTACAATGTTAATTAGTCTCAATTCTCACCATGGAAAAAAATGATACAAAAAACACAAAGCATCAATTAGGAAAAGTAAAAGAATATTTTCCAAAGACCTTAATTTTTTTTTTTTCATCTCTCAATGGATGTCAATGCTTCCCTTCTTAACTTTTTTAAAAAATGTACCTTTGTTTTAAAATATTATCTCATTTTTTATTTTACATCAACAAATATTTTCTCTGGCAGTCAGGAATACAAGAATAGAATTCACTTTCCTTGTATTTGTTTTGATAAATGGGATGGAAATTGTGCTTTGCAGTCAGCTTCTAGGATTTCTGATGAGAAAGCAGCCGGGAGCATGAAGCTCCTGTCATGCTTCAGTGTTCTTAGTCTGTGTACAGCCTTGACAAGATCTTTCTCCTTTTTTCTTGGATGAGCTTTGGGACATCTTCTGTTTTCCTCTGACTGACAGCAGAAAAATAACTTTTATCATTAAAAACTGATTCTAGGGAAATCTGATCTCTGCCCTCCATTTGCTTGTAGCTGCTAAAGCTTTTGTTTTCACAGTTCTTTCATACTAACTAGAAATTATCATTACAAAAGCACATGGATATTGACCTGTCATGTCACGTGTTGTTTAGCAAGTACCAAAAAATTGAATTGCCTTTTATCTGCTATTTTAAAACCACTTATTAAATCATCTTTTTGTTGAGAGGTGACTCAGAGTCAGGAGGTTTTGTCTGTACATGTTGCCTTTATTTGTCTTAACCTTCAGAAAGTTATTGAATAGTTCTTTAGTTTAGCCTCTTGAGTTGAGTTAAATATTTGACACATAAATTATTACAGGCGTGGCCCCATGGCTTGATCTATTTAAAATTTAAGTATGGGTAATGATATGGTACTTTTTTATTTACCTGCTAATTATATAATACTGATCATAGATTTGATATGTAAAATTTGCCATTTTTTAAAATTTCGCCTTGATTTCATATAGCCTTTTTCACTATAGCAACTTGGAAATAGGTGAGAAATAAAAGAAAAATGGGAAAAGATAGTAAACCTGGTTGATCAACATTTGGCAGAGAAGCTAAAATCAGCTAATACTCACATTTATCATTGCATACACTTTTTAAAAAGTAGATGTATTTCTAGGATTTATCAGAAATGAATGAAAGAATAAGAATTTTGGTGCACATCTGTCCACAGGGCACTTAACAAAAGGAGTTAAAACTCATCATAAAGGGTAGAATGGGAAAGAAGGAAATTTTATGTATAGTTCCAGTTTTCCCCCAGGCTTATTTATTTATTTATATGTATACATAAATAAAATGAATATTTTTATTGATTTCAGAGAAGAAGGGAGGGGGAAAAGAAGATAAAAACATCAATGATGAGCCCAGCTGCCATGGCTAGTGGTTGAGTGTCAACCTATGAACCAGGAGGTCACGGTTCAATTCAGTGGTCAGGCACATGTCCAGGTTGTGGACTCAATTCCCAGTGAGGAGCCAATCAATGATTCTCTCTCATCGTTGATGTTTCTATCTCTCTCTTCCTTTCTGAAATCAATAAAAAGTCTATTTTAAAAAAAGAAACATCAAACCGTGTCTATAGATTTTGCCTTATCCATTGAGACTTAAAGCATATGTCTCCTTTATTTGATAGGTGGAGGTTCTTTCTTCTTGAATTGCTTAGATTCTCATGGAATATATATATAAGCAGAAGGATATTGCTTGGAACTCATTATGTTTTACATACAATAGGCAAACATGATTACTTAGAAAGAGAGAGTATTAATGAAGGGGGGAATATCAGAATCAAAATGAGAAGTGTATGCAAACAAATACATTAATACTAATTTTAAAGAAAACTGAATAAAGGAATAAATATTTATTGGTGTTTTATCTCGTTGTATGGGAGATCGTTATTTGTATATGCCAGGTATTTTTCTGGGGAAATCTCACTTTCTAGATACTTTTAGAACAAAGTATGGTCTAATGTAAACATGACCACTAAATTGTATTGTTGCCTAGCAGGCAGCAAAATCACAGTTTATCTGGGAATCTTAGCATGAACTTAGCTATAATTGCCCTGTCAGCTGGAAAGTGGTGCTGAATAGCATTTTCAGTCTGTGGTAGACCAAAAGTGTCTCTTGTGCCTGGTAAGATAAATACTGTCACAGAGCTAGAAATATAAATATATTTTTAAAGTAATTAAAGAGTCACATCTTTATTCAAGCAGACTTTGGTGCTTAAGGTAAAACATGCAACAAAAGTGATAAAATAGGTAGACTTGATACTGTCAGATAGCATTGAAAACTAAGCATTTAGATTCAACCAATGCTTAATTTGCATTATAAATGTATGTATTTTGTAGATTTGAAGTTTTTAATTAAATGCCCACCACAGTGCATTTCGAACCATACATTACATACATTGAACTGGAATTTCAATTTGGACTTGGCATCTGTGTACCATGCTGATAATTTTCACATAACTGAGATTTTAATCTCAATAATCAAAATTTATATTAAAAAAACCAAGTTGAGCTTGCTTTTTTTATTTTTATTTTTTATACTTAGTTGTCTTCTTTTTCACCTACTGATTTTCGTTAGGCAAGAACAGTGATTATCCATAGCGAGTTAAGGCGGGTGGCCCCAAAAGGCCTTGACCTTGGCCTTGACTTTAATCTTCTTTTCAAATCCATGCATTAAAGTGTGTTGTGTATTAGTTTGTTTATTGGGTAGACTTTGCCATGACCATGATTTTCATAGAGTAATTATTTTGATTAAGTTGGAAGATTAAAGTTAGTCTTGCATGAGGGAAGAATACACTTGGGAAGCAGTGATGGATGGACTCCAGTCTTCAGAGTGTTTAGTTCCGCCAGCATTTTCCATCTGAATGAATATTCACCTCCCAGTTTGGTTTGGGTGACAGTGAATGGATTGTGAGACTCTAGTGTTTCCTAGGAAAAGGTAGAGATCAAGAAGGATAGATGACACCGTGAATATCCACATGTGTTCTTGCAATTTTTATCGGATACTTTTCTGCTTTGATGAACAACATCGTTACTGAGGTAATAAATGTTAATTAATATCTACGTCATTTTTTGTAAGTGGTAGTTTAGTGTTACAATTAGACTAATTAGTACACAGCATAGCTTGGTAATACGACAAATCATAGAGCAGAACATGTTGACTCTTATCCATTATGATATATTAGCTAATCCACTTGCTCAATAATGACAAAATAAAAGACAGGAATTGGGCAGTAACAACAGCAACAATGATAAAGGCATCGTGGCTACATTTTCAGGTTTTTATTTTGTACCATGTTCCTGAGTACTATGGATTGTTGACCTTTAACATTTCACTTTTTCCATTGGTGTGTATAGCCCTTAACCAAAATCTTCAAGGATAGAATCATGAGTAAATAAAGAAAATGAAAATAAAAGTTGAGTTCCAAGTTTTCCTGGTTCATACATGTCATGATTAGTGTTTTATTTTTTTCAAGAGTATTCTTGTAAAGCTGACAGCTGCCTATGTCTCTTGATTTATTCTTCAGAACCTATGCGAACCCCAAAGACTTTAAAAATTGCTGAGATCCAGGCAAGGCGCATCGCTGTGGACTGGGAATCCTTGGGTTACAACATAACCCGTTGCCACACTTTTAATGTCACTATCTGCTACCATTACTTCCGTGGTCATAACGAGAGCAAGGCGGACTGCTTGGACATGGACCCCAAAGCCCCTCAGCATGTTGTGAACCATCTGCCACCTTATACAAATGTCAGCCTCAAGATGATCCTCACCAACCCCGAAGGCAGGAAGGAGAGTGAAGAGACAATTATTCAAACTGATGAAGATGGTATGCTCATATTTTATTATTTTTTAAAAGGGAGGGTTATATAATAGAAATGATATAAAAGGTTGTAATATATCCTAGAGTCCCCACAATTGAATTGGATTCTGAAATCTGCTAAGTACTATTAATAAGGTTAACTTTGGAGAAAGAGTTCACTTTTAACCAAAAAGTTTAATACTCTTTAGAATAGCATCAAATACTAAATGAAATACACCTCTACTGTTTTATGTGTTCATCCAATGAATAAAAGTATTTGGGGCTGGGTGAAAGGGAGTGCTATAGAGTGAATTGAGGCAAAGCGAAACTGGTAATCAAGAATCATGGGTTTTTCATTATGGCTCTGTAGCTTTAGCAAATTTTTTCAGCCTCCTAGCTTTCCATTTCTCATCTCTATGAGAAAAGTTTAAATTAGATGATCTCTAAGGTTCCATTCCTTGCTAAAATTCTCCTTGAGTAGCTTTTAAGTAGGGCTACGTTTTTATTTGGGTTTCAGAAAACAGGATGTAATTCATAGCCTAGTGTTCCCAAGTTCCCTCAAGTTCTGAGATGTAAGCTTAGATTTTGATGCCTACCAAGTATGTGATTGCCATAATATATATATATTGATACCATAGTTTCTACAAATTTTCCCTATCACTTGGAAAAGGCTAAATGATCCTGGTTTATCCTGTTATTTTTGTTGTAATAAAGGAAAGTAAAAGCTCTTTAATCTATTTAGCTCAGATTTTAAAGGAAACAATATTTCCTAAAATTATGCATGGTGTTATTCTTATATTTCTAAACATCAGAGGAAAAAAAACAAGACTTAATGGTAAATGAACTTTTGCCATGTTTGAATTAATCAAACATGATTACATTTGCTATTATGTTTGAATTTGTACCTAATTGAACTATGTATATATATAAAACGCTAAGTGACCGGCTGACCAGCCCATAGGTATGACGCGCACTGACCTCCACAGGGTAGATGCTCAATGTAGGAGCTCCCGAGCTGTGGTGATTGGCAGCGGTGGTTCTTGAGTGACACACCCCAGAATAATACAGGAGGGAGCCCGATTCTGAAGTGTGTCACCTGAGAACCCCTCCTTGCAATCCTGGACCCATCGGAGGATGTCAGCCAGTTTTGACCCGATTCCCACTGGCCAGGCCAAAGGACCCTACCAGCCATAAAGACTCTGCTCACTCTGCAGACTTCCTCTAAGCCACAGTGCCTCCCTGGGTGCAGCCAGCCAGGAAGAGCCAAGGGAGGTTGGCCCCAGGGCGAATCCAGCCTGTTTCACCCAGTTCCACCCCAGTGGCCACCTTCTAATTGTATGAATCATACCTTTCAATGTGTATGAATCCTGCTATAATACATAAATACATATTCATATCACTCATGCCTTACATACATACACATACAAAAAACACACCTCAACACATGCTTATGCAAGAAAAAAATGGCTCGCAAGAAAATAATAGGTGTGAAATGAGAAATCTAAACATAGATTCAAACGCCTTAACAAAATATTTATCTCATTTTATAAGGTGGGATAAATATTTAAAAATCTGTATTACACTACACACTCTGTAACCAAGGTTTTTAGTGACAAGAATGTACTCATGTTTTATTGCCTGCACTTAAAATAAAATTTAAAAAACCCCACATGATTTCTTAATTGGTGATTTTAGACCAAATTATATGAGTTTTAGCCATTTACTGTCAATAGTATAATTCATTTTGATGGTAACCTTTGGCATGGTTTTTTAGCTTGCCTTTCTTTCCCATAAACCAAAGAATACATTCAGGCTTATATGATCTTTTTCATAGTGTATTAAATTTTTCAATGTATTTTGATCTGTACATATGACTAGATTAATAATCAGCAAGTGAATTATTGTGAATTTATTTATTTTATATTTACTGTTGAGAGTATTTTATATTTTTAAATATATTTTTATTGCTTTCCAAAAGGAAAGAAGAGAGGGAGAGGGATAGGAACATCAATGATAAAAGAGAATCATTGATCTCTCACGCCCCACACCGGGGGTCAAGCCCACAACCCTGGCATGTGCCTGACCTCAAATCAAACCGTTCATAGGTCAATTTTCAACCACTGAGCCACTCCAGCGGGGCAAGAGTATTTTAAATTATGTCCTGAGTTGATAATATTCATGACCGTGTATAATTTTTTTTTCCAGAAACATTTTCTAAAGTGAAATGACCTTATTTATTCTAATTTCAGTAATATTTTCTATGATGATTTTACTTTATTTTTTATTGATAAAAAAGAGAGAGGGAAAAAAGAAAGGGAGAGCAATTTGTTGTTCCTCTTATAACTTATGCATTCATTGGTCAGTTCTTATATATGCCCTGACTCAGAATTGAACCTGCAACCTTGGAGTATCTAGATGATTTCCTAACTTACTGAGCTACCTGGCCAGGGCCTATTCTAATTTTATGTTAACATATGCTTTGAAGCTTTTTAAATTGGCTTTAATGAAATTGAATTGCGTATTAACATTTCAAAGTATGGTTAGGAACTAATTCCTCTTACTGTGAGGTTGTTGGTTTGTTTCTCTCCCCCCCTCCCCTTTTGCTCTTACTACATGTAAGACTAAATGATTTAAGTACAAACTTCCTGTGACATAGTTGCAAGAAACTCAGTTTTCAAACTATCCATGTGAGCTTCAGTTTCCACATAGACTGCTTGATGTGTCTCAATGTTTCTGAGGGGGAAAAGAATATCTAAATTGTAATCTATTGTTATAAAGATCGATGGATTATGATGATCTAATTAAGTCAGTCTTACTAAATTATTGCTGACCTATACACATAGAAAAAAGAATAAATTATCAGCCATCTAATAAAAGAATATAATTTCATGAAAAGAATTCTGGGGATATCCATAAATCATGACAGCAAAGCTAGAATGATTTCCCACCAGAACCCTAAGGTAGAATTTATATTTAATTTATTGCATACATTTTTCTAATGCATGGGTAGAAGTTTTTTTGTATGAGATTTTCTTTTCATTTTTTTATTCCAGCATTGATAAAAATCAATATTAAGAAGTTAGGTCAGCAGAAAAACCTGGTTTTGGGGACAGTTTTTTGCTAATACAAAGCTATTTTTAAATGTACATTTATTATATTTTAAATGCTTATTTAATATAATCTTGATCCAAAACATTCATTATTTTTTCTCTTACCATTTTGAGAGTTATATTTTAAAAGAGTTTCTTATATGCAAAAGAATTTAGCTGAAACAGCTCTCAAGTAAATCAAGGCGACTAAAAGTCAGCATTCTGTCTCCATTAAAAGTTGTTGATGTGGAAATGTGAAATGACAGTCACTGCAATGTGAACACTGGTATGGTGATGGTCTTAGTAACTTTATGATACATTTATGCAAATTATAAGGACATAGAGATGTGTGCGTATGGAAAGACATTGTCTTCCTTCAGTTGTAGAAAGTAACTGAATATAATTTGTTCCTATTCCCTGTAGCCCCTTCTCTTTCTGTGTGTGGTTTGTAGTTCACCTAAGCACAATTCTTTTTGGCCACTATACATGCCCTGCTGCAAGATCATAGTGGGCACTCGATTAGCCATAAATTTTCCGCAGACTTTTGCCCCTTAGAAATATGACCTTATGTACTTGAAGTAAATCCAGTTGACAAGGTAGAACATGTGTAAGAAGAGCAGAGAATTGCAGGCATTCTAATTCTAGGGAGACTATTCTCTAATTCTACGCCCCCTCTCAATGCAGAATTGTGCAAACATTTAAAACTGTCCTTATTTGTGAACAATTTTAAAAACATCCATGCCATTTTACATTATTTATGGGCCAAATTGTGTTTGGTTAACACAGGTACTAATTATATGCCATCATATAAAAATTTACTCATTAGTTGGAGTTTTGTCTCCTTCCCCCAACAACCACCTTCTATATATGAGGTATGGAAAGGTGAAGACATACTTTTCCTTAATTACAATTGTAACTAAATCATTTGAGTAGAATGGAAACTACAAGTACTCTCCTGGGAAACAAACTAATGCCCATGACAGCCCCATAGACTATAAAATTGCAAATAGGGGCCTTGATCAATTACATAGTCTGTGCCAATACTATGGACTGGGTGGGGGTAGGGGCCGGGTGGACAACTAGATACCTTTGGTTAACTTCCCTCTGAGCCCTCAGAGGGAACAGATGCATGAACAGATCATCTGAAGTTTAGTGTTGGCATCCTTTTTGTTTACTATGGGTTTCTTTCCTTTATGAATTTATTATTAATGTGCCCAATTATGTTGGCTGTCCCAGAGGTCACAGCATCATTCATCATCTCCTCGTAGACTGGAATAAATCTTACTCTTTTGACATTATCATTCAAAATTTCTTGATGCTGCTAGCCACGATGTAATGCATTTCCTTTGATCCAGTGATTTTTAAGTTATATCAAGTCCTCACAAAATTGCTTTATACTCTGAAACTGCATTTCTAGATAATGTCATGTGTGAAATTCACTGAAATGCCATATTAAGGAAAAATATTAATCAAAAACCAAACTTGCCCAATATTAGGTCAATATTTTCAAATAAAAACACATTTTAAGCAAAGTAGGATGGAGAGAATATAGTTTTAAACCTTAATGGAACAAAAAACTTTGCGAATTTAAATAAAATATATAGAAAACTATGTACAATAACAAAAGTTGCTTATATTTTGCTGACAAAAGCTGACATGTCATTCTTTGCTGCCATTGGGTATTGTTAGTTATATGACATTTACAAATAGGACTGGAATGAAGGTTCCTCAAATCTTGACATACCTGGGGACACTTCAAAACTAGTTATATGGATTGTTGCATTCTAAACTAGAATGATGCTTTCAGGCAGTTAGAATCTTAGCTTTAAGATAGTGAATTTCATTTAAAAGGCTGAAATAATGATATTTGAACCTGTTCATCTTAGCAGTTTTAAAAATATATAATCAATGTGTCTTTTTTAAATTATATAAATTTAATAAGTGTAGCTTTAAAAGTCAGATTGACTATTGAGGGGCATTTCTTTTAAAAAAAAATAGAATATTTATTATCTTATATAATCCATAAATAGGATAGGCCTTATAGTTGAGCAGCAACTCAGTGAGTCAGAAATATCAAAGAAGCCAGGTAGTCTCCAAATATGTGGTAGGCAATCCATACCTTGTTTCAGCTTTGGTCTAGTTCTTCTGGTCACAAGATAGCTGCCAATAGGAACTTGGAAAAGCAGTGCCCTTACTTTCATACAATAGGAGAAAGGGAAAGAGAGAAGAAGATAGAGAGATGGTTGGGGAGAAGGGAGAAATGTCTTCCTTGGGGAAGGATGTCTTCCTTAAATATGAACTATAAATGTTTTCATTTACTTTGGTTGAGCCAGTTTAGATTATATGTCCATTTTATGATCATTTAGAGTCACCAGCAAAATGCTATCCATTGATTTGCTTTGACTAATCATAATCTATGCTCTGAGTTAGAAATGGATAAACTTCCTGAATCAAATGGGTTATATGAGAGATCGATGGATAGTTGAGCAGAATTGGGATTTTCTTCTGAAGGAGGAGTGATAAGTAGCTAATTGACAGGGTTCCCTACACAAACCCACATTATGCCATTTCTTGTTCCCTGTGATCTCCTTGGTAGTTCAGCAACTTTGCTAACAGCCTTACAATTTGGCAGCATAAAGAGTGTGGAGTCCTGTGGACCTGAGTTTTAGCCTTGGGTTTGCTGTCTTCTAGTTTCCTGATTTCAGACACATGAGGCCACTTCCTTGAGCTTCTGTTCCCTTATCTGTTAAGTAGCTTAATGTTGCTGATGGTGGAGCATTTCAATTCGGTACTATATAATTTCACTCTCTAGTCTAAAGAGTATTCATTATTCTGTTTCATTATTGCATGAACTTTGTTTATAGAGACTCTTTTGGGTCTTATAATCTTTAAAATATCTTTCAGGAAAACACAGCCCTGTTCATGAAACAAATCACAAATGAGATTTTCAAGTTATTAGAGACCTATTAAAGGAGTAAATTAGTTAATTTATTCAGCTCTCTAGGTGATAGAATATATTTTTTGAATAAAAATAATTTTGCAGTTGCATATATTATCTGTATTAGAAGCTTAAAACTGATCATATAAGCTTATTTTCTTTTTAAAGACATTTTATTTATTTTCAATTTAGTTGTCTAGCTTCTATAATGTGCTTTTTCTGTGTGTGTGTTTTTTTTTGTTTTTGTTTTTTTTAATGTAAGAAGTCTTATAACTAAATATATGTATTTGTAGTGCCTGGTCCTGTACCTGCCAATTCTCTTCAAGGAACATCCTTTGAAAATAAGATTTTCTTGAACTGGAAAGAGCCGATAGATCCAAATGGAGTCATCACCCAATATGAGGTATTGGGAGGACAAGGAAGTTAATTGAAATGTGGATTAAAGGGAGAGTAAAAGGAAAAGGGAAATAGGGGGAAATGAGTGAGGATTAAGAGAGCTGGGAGTCCTCGCTTCTATCTGGGGCATCACTCCAGTAGCTCCCTCCTCCACCCTCTTTCCCCTCATAGCAGGCTTCATACCACTCTGCAGGGGCATATACAAATTAACCTCCATCTTTGTTGGGTTAGTTTGCATACTCACTCTGATTGGCTGTGGGTGTAGCAGAGTGATGGTTAATTTGCATGTTTCTCTTTTATTAGGTAAGATATTTATTATAAATCTGACTATATTTAAACTTTAAATATAAATTATCATCTTATTTTAAAGTATAATATTTTTAAAGAATAAAAGAATGGATTACTTTAATTATATAAGTGTGTAGTTCTGTTCCTGCATAGTCAGTGTTGATTAAAGCATAAAGTGCATACATTTCTAGTGGCTACAGAGTGCATTATGGGGATGGGACTCACTAATGCAGTCTTATAATTTGTGAGTATATTAGCATACTTAAATACCATTTACATAAAAATTATGTAAATTGGGCAAAGTATAGATTAAGCTAATTAAAACAAACATTTGTTGAACATATTCTGGATTTCATATGCATTAAAATATTCAACTATAAGATTATGTATTTATACTTAAGTACACTATTTTTTATAAAAGAAAATAAATATGTATTGGTCTAATCATGGAGATAATAGATACAGGATGTAACCATATCAAAATGAGAAAGAAAGGACTGAAATAAAAATGTGATGCACTCCACAAATACCCTTGAATGCTATCTTATTTAAAAGGATTTATGTAAAATTTATTATGATATACTGGATATGTAATAGGAAATATATTTCTTAAAACAGGTTAGCTACAGCAGCATAAGATCTTTTGATCCTGCAGTTCCAGTGGCTGGACCTCCACAGACTGTATCAAATTTATGGAACAGCACACACCATGTCTTTATGCATCTCCATCCTGGAACCACATACCAGTTCTTCATAAAAGCCAGCACTGTCAAAGGCTTCGGGCCAGCCACAGCCATCAATGTGACAACCAATATCTCAGGTATGTAAATGAGAAAAGGATCGGTTTGTAATTGTATGTCACAGAGAATCACATATACACTGAGTATAGTTTGTCTCACGTATTGAATCCTTAATATTATTCATGAGAGAAGGCACTTCAAATAATTATTTAAATACAGATTTTTCTTGGTTATATGTCCAAGCCAAATGCATCTGAAATAGTCAGTTTTAATCAACCTGTGGTCTTTTTTTTAAAATTATCTCTTTATTAGAAAGTTTTAGAAGTTCATTTTATATATATATATATATATATATATATATATATATATATTAGGCGTATAATAATTTTGAGGAGTTGTTAATATGGTATCAGATCTTTACTGAAAAATTGATTTTATTCAAGATGATCCTTGCTCTGCTATCTTAGTAACATACACCTTTGTCTCTCTCTGCTCCATTTTTACTGAGATTTTGATAATTTTAAACAAATAAGAGCTTTTCTTTCTCTTAGAATCTCACATAAATTTACCTAGATATTACAGTGGCAGTGTGTTAGGTTGATAAACAAATACAATTACATTTTCAATATGTTATGCTCATAGTTTCATAGTTTACATTTGACTAGATTGTTTACAGATGTGACTTCTTCAGTTAAGTCATCAATTAAACCCTATTAAATTTTTTTGCCAGAAATTAGCATTGTAAAATGCCCCAAATCCAGTTTATATAATTCTGTATATAATTTGTTTCTGGTTAGTAAAATAAGTATATATTATATATATAGTGGGTTAACACTGAAAATATTAACAAACTTAATATATTAATAAACTTAAAATACTAATTATGCATTTTTAAGTTTTTCTTTTAATTCTAGTTGTATATAAAAGTGGTACAATATATTATTTAAAATTTTCTACCATTGTTCTCAATTGGTAACATTTGCATCAGAAAAAAGCTACTTAAATTTTAAGTCCAAAATTTTATTTGGAAATATTTTGAAAAAATACAAAACATTAGAAATATATATCATGAAAAATTAACTGTTCCAATATGAGCTATAATTTCTTTAAAATATTTTTGTCACTTTACTAGAAAATATATGACTTTGTGATACCATGATATAGTGATACATGCTGCCTGCATTCCAGAATTAGCATGAGTATTATAAATAACTAATATCTTTCAACAGAGATATCTACAGAATTTTCATAAATTTGTGAAACTGATAGCATTGAACAAATGGAACATAATTAAAGACTGAACACCCATTTAGCACTTTTTAAAATTATTTTATTGCACTTCCAGTTGAAGCAACCTGTATACATGGGTACTCGATTTGAATTTTAAAAACTTGGTGCAACCACTATATCTTGGGAACACATAGTACTCAAGCTCAGGCTGACAAAATTTATGATTGTGGTTCTAAGCATCACTTGAAAGGTTAAGAATTTATTGTTATTTATCCAATGAGTCCAGTGGTTCTATTCCTCAGTATTTTAAAAGTAGTTTAAATAAACATGAAATAAAGTTATTGGAGAAATGCTGCTTGGAGACATGATTTATATATTTGTGTGTGTATATAATGTCTCTTGATTCTACTTCCTAAATAATTCTCAGATTATGTTCCTCTTTGCAATGTCACTATTTCTTCCTAATTGGGCTATATTTTAAACAGACCATTGAAGTGTCTCTCTAAGCAGTATCCTTGCCTTTATACAACATATATTTCTTTTTTAAGTCCCCTTCCCCAATCTATATATATTCGATATAAAAGTCTCAGCGACCAGTCGACCAGCTGACCATTTAACCTGTAGCTATGAAGTGCACTGACCAGCAGGGGACATACACTCAATGCAGGAGCTGCTGAGCTGCGGTGACTTGGCAGCTGCATTTCCTGGGTGATGCACCCAGAACCGGACCTCTAGTCTATAGGCTCCCCACTTTGGGTCTGGCTCCCCACCAGGTCTCTAGCCCATTGCAGAGGTTGAGGTTGTGGGTCTGGCCCTTGCAGAAACTTTCTGACTCAATTACCTAAATGATGAGATGTGCAGGACCTACTGGTTGTGCTCCGATGTCTGGCACCCACACTGGCCCAACCGCTTTATATCTATTTCCAGTGGAAGCAGCAATTTTTTCCGCTACCATTCTCTGCTGGGACGGCTACAGCTTTCCTTCTTACAGACAGTAGGCAACCTCCAGGGAGGGAAGGAGGCAAAGGAGCAGCTCAGGTGGGAAGAAGGAGGTTCTTACTGCCACAGAGCCTGGACAGGAGCCTAACATTGAGCAGAGTCTTGGCAGACTAGATTCCAGGCTAAGCAAATCGTATTTTGCAGTTAATGCCCACAAGACATCAGTTACCACCAAATTTAGGGTAAAGTGAGATGAAAGAAGCAAGACAGACATAGAGAGAAAGTGATATAATATTGAGAGAAAAGAGGAGGGAGCCCAATTCCGGGGTGTGTCACTCTTAATCGGAGATGTCACTCTTAATCGGAGATTTCTCGAGGGATGTCTGAGAGTCAGTTTGGGCCTAATCCCTACAGACCAGGCCGAGGGACCCCACCAGTGCACGAACCCATGCACTGGGCCTCCAGTCTAACATATTGTATTTAGTGGGATAAAATCCAATCATCCATGCATGGTTAGCATTTGTGTCTCTTCATTGTATAGTTCCTCCCATTCTCCACTCCTACCTATGGACACAAAGTTCAGGTATATTAAACTGCTTATAGTCATTAGAACACATCTTGTCATTTCGTGTTAGGTGTCTTCAACCATACTGTTTTCTCTCTCTGGAATTTGAGTATATACCCTCTCTTTCTGGTGAGTTTTTATTCTTTTAACATTCAGCTTAAGCATCACCCAAACCCTGAAGCCTTTCCCGCTTCATCTTCCCTTTTCCCAGCACTAGTTTAGGGTAGTGCTCTCCAGGTGTGGTTTCCAGGTCAACCCCATCAATGCCATGTGGAAAATCTCTAGAAAGACACATTGTCAGGCCCCTCCCCAGACCTACTGAATCAGAAACTCTGGAAGAAAGTGATGGCAATTTGTGTTTTTAAGAAGCCACCTAGGTGCTTCAAATCCTTCTAGTGTAGAGACCACTCTTTTAGCAAATTAACTGTCTTCCTCTTTTGGTCACCTAATATTCTGCTATAAATGTTTATGACTCTCGTTTCTGATGAACTGTGATGCCCTCCTTTTAATTCTGCTAATATAAGATGCCACACTTCACTTTCCTTTCTATTTAGAGCTCATTGTATGTACTCAGTAAATGTTCAATGAATGAATGAACTACTTTTAAAATTGATCAGATACCACTTGTTCTGTTATTCTAATAATGCACACATTTCACAGATTATAGACTCCTGCAAACATCCTTCTCAATGGAAATAATTAAAAAACAATTGAGACTACTTTTTCAACCAGTTGGAGAAGGAAGTTCCCCTCTCCCCCAACATTATCAAACATTTGGGAAATGTATCTTTCATCTTTTCAGTAATCTAGCAACTATTGTGTTAGTTTGTGGTAAATAAAAATGAATGTTCCCATTCCCAGTTATCACACGTCCTTGATATCCTTGGTATGTTCCTTATTGTAACCACAGTGGGGAAAATGGCCCAGACACTAATACAGGATCGTTGTACAACCCACGAGTTCATGAAGGACACCTCCTCTCCAGGCATCCTTTACAGCACTCCCGCCATTCCTATCTCCACATTCCCATGTGCAGCTCCATTACCATGGCTCCCGAGAGTTTCCACTGTTTCCACCTTCATCCGATCCCATCATTGTTGAATTCAAGGACTCGGGGAAACTAAAACCTGAAACAGCTTCACAAAGTGTTTGGGGTGTGTCACACATTGCCAACTTATTATTTAAATTTCAATAACTCTTGGCTCTATATCTTCTGCTGTCCTAGATTCCCCAGGTTAACATTCACTGGTATATGTTATTCTACAAAATAAGGTTCATTTCAGACAATTAAGTATTAAAGTGATGTTTTTTTCTTGGTCAGGATCATTTATTCAACCTGAACTATGATATATTACTGTTAATTGATTGAAGCTTTTTTTTTTTTTGTCATTAATTCCTCATCAGCTCCAACTTTGCCTGACTATGAAGGAGTTGATGCCTCTCTCAATGAAACTGCCACCACAATAACTGTATTGTTGAGACCAGCACAGGCCAAAGGTGCCCCTATCAGGTAAGAGGGGGGAAAACAGTTAAAGGGATAAAACAGCCAAAATGAGGGATGTTTTCTCATAGTTACTGAGCAACCAATACTAGTAGTGAGTGGATCATTTCTCTGAGACAATCATTTGCCAATTACTATCAGGAGCTTTATTTCTGTTTTATTTTGTTTCATTTTTTCATTTGGAGAAAGCCTGAAGATAGATAGACTTGTAGTTAAGAGAAGAATGCTAAGGGGATTTTTGAGATATTCATGAATTCAATCATTCACCTCTCTGTGCTGTTTGATTTAAGAGCATAGCTCTTTTATTTATTTTTTTCCAGTCCCATTTCATTTCACTTCCTCTGTTGATGCCTATGGTATATGAGTTTTGAAGGTTTTTGTCTGAAATAGAATGCGAAAATACCTCCTATCCAATGCATCAAGTCCTTTATGCATAACTTCACAAGAATGATTGAAAAATAGGAAGCTTTGAGAAAATAAAAGTAGAATGAATGTAGCCTATGTGACCTTTTAATTCCTAACTTGTTGCTTATCAGGAGTTCCATAGGAAATATTAAAATTCAATTTGTATTTCCTTTATCTTTCCAGTATTAAAATCTCTCATCTTCCATAAAATTATGACCTATGTTTTCAGGGATTGAGTCAAATTATGTTGATCATTTTAAATAAATATTTAAAACTGATGCAAGTTTCTATTAAAATGTTACAGGTTTTTGTGGACACTTTTATTTTCATACTTCTATTGAGAAATAAATCAAGGCACAAAAAATAGTGCAGATATTTCAATAATGTGTATAATAATGTGTATAATGAATGCATTTGACCTTATAAGCATATACTAACCATTTAGATAATCCTGTGTCACTAGGAAGAAAGAAGTATTTGTAATTAAAACATATATTGATAAAACAACCTTAGTTCATTAAGAAAACTCTCATGAGTCTGTCTGGCTAATATGCCTGGGACTACCACAGCAGAGAAGAAGAAAGATGACTGAATACTCTTATAGTATAAACACCTGGGAAACATTGTCTACTTGAAAAAGCAAAGTAAGAATGCAATGCTATTCATGAATCGATAAACTGTGAGTGAGTCTGATTGTTGATCCGAAAGAGAAAGAGAAAAATGCTTTCATTCAATATCTTTTTCTATTGACAAGTAGTCGGGATCATTCACACGTCCTATCTGTGATAAAATTTACTTTGTATGCGTTCCATTCTGCTACTGTTTTTTAGATGAGCTGCCAGGTATTTGCTTTTATCTTATAAAAGTTAAATATTTGAGTGAATTCAGTTTTATTTAATGTAAGTTGGAAACAGTGTATTATTTATCTGTATAACATAGCATACACTAACTCTTTAATCATTTAATCAATTTATTACACAAATATTGACTGACCAGGTATTAGGTGTCAGGCATAGTGCTAGGTAGCATAAATCAAAGATTAAAATGATCACAACAAAACACAGAGCCTGTCTCCCTGTTTGTCATGGACAATGCGAACTGTCTTAGCCTTCCTTGTAAATCCTTTGCTCAAAGCTGGTATTCAGACAATTTGTTGAATTAAATCAAATGTCTTTCTTCTATTTTTTTTTTATCTAACACAAAAATATTAATTACCAAAAATCCACATAGTGTGAATTCATAGTTATGTGAAAATAATTCTTGTTCATTATATATTCTCTTTTTCTGACAGTCATGCACCTCTTTGTACTTTTTGGAAAGACATTTGACCTTTTCTGAAATTGAGCCCAATGTCTGAAAACTACCAATTTTACACTTTGAAGATAAGTGCTCAAATAAATTTAATACTGTGAGAAGAAATAATTAAATGAAATGTAAAAATATAAAAAGTATTTTAAACTGATAATCTAATCTTATCATTTCCATTTTTAAGTGTTTTTTTAAGAGATATATTTTTTAAATTTCTGTGAGGAAGGGAGATGAAGATGGAAATAGAAATAGAAATATCAATGATGAGAAGGAATCATTGCCTCTTGCACACCCCACACTGGGGATCGAGCCTGCAACCTGGCATGTGCCCTACCCAAGAATCGAACTATGACCTCCTGTTTCATAGGCTTAATGCTCATCCATTGAGCCACACTGGCCAAGCTCCTTTAAAAAAAAAATGATCTGTCCATGTATCTGTTTTCACCCATCGGTGGGGGGCCTGGTGGTAGAACCAGACTGGTCTAGTTGGCCATTTGGCTTCCAATGAATCCAGCCTCTTTGCTTTTTTTAAATCCTCTTATCATATCGCCCTGTCTTCTTTCCTCTGTCCACATTCCTATCTTCGGTATTGCTTCTAGTAACTAGAGCCTTATCTTGGCACTTAACTTGTCCAGTTCTATAATTTCTTTGAAAATGAGGGCCCGACTTAATGTCATAAAAAATTCCAAAGCACTGCATATATGGTCTGGTACTTCAAATCTTTTATTGGATCCTTATTACTACCTTCAAGTTTTAAAACTCTTTTACTTTCTACCCAGGTTCTTTCTGTCAGTCTGTCTAATCTCTTCTTTGTCAATGCTTGTTGCCATTCCCAGTCTGTTTGTGGCTCAACTCCTCCCCTCCCAATAAAAGCCATACCTATTTAGCACCTAGCTCAGTCTCCTGAGAGCATCCATCAGTTACCTTTGTTTGCTATCATAAGCTCCAAATACTAGGATCTATCTTTACTTATATTACAGAATGACTAGCCTCTGCCAGATTGCATTTCACCATCCATTTGTCCCGACTCCAGTGAAATATCTAATTATTTCTGCTTGGGCCTTGCTAATGTCAAACAAACTCCATTTCCAAGAGCCTCTGTCATAGCACCTGTGAAATCCTTGTTGGGTAGAGTTTGCTCCTTAATGTTTTTATAAATTCATTCATTCAATAGCATTCAGTATGTGCTAGGTGCTGAGCTGGATACTTGGAATATACCCCAGATAGTATATTACGAGGGCGATAAAACAGATAAAAAATAGACTTTGTTAAAGTTAATGCCACGATTTTGAGCTTAATTACTCAGATATGAAGAGCAGGAAATACAATGGCAACCAAAATTAAAATTAAAACCTTTATTCTTGTTCATCAAAATGTTGGTGGTGGTGGCTTTAAGATCTTGGGAAGTCTGTTCATAAGAGAAATACTAAGACATTGAAACTGGAGAAAATCTCCTGAAGTTTTAAGGAGACATTTTAAATTTAAAAAAAAAAAAAAAAAAAAGAGGGAATATGAATTGTATAAACTTTGTTATCTGGTGTCACTAAGAATGTGTACACACTGAAACTAGTCAGATTCATAGATAGTTTAGTTATTAGCAGTTGAAAAATCCATTGCAGGCTGTCATTGATAATTTTGGGTCTACTGCCAACATTTTTTAAGCATTGCATCAAGGAAACTATCTACCAGATGTATCATATGTTCACTTTTTGAGCTAAAGTCAAAATCCCTTTGTATTTTTTTGTTTGTTTTTTTGGTTTTTTTTTAGTCTTATAAACTGAAGAAAAATTCTATGATGAAATGTCATTATTTGGCCTCCTGCAAAATTAAAAATGACTACATTCCAGTGTTTAATTACAATGGACTATTGCATAGTGAAATCATTTTTAGTTTTTTAATATAAGGAAATCATATTTTGAGCATTGAGTGAAGATTCATAATGCCAGTAAATTGATTTTAACTTAACTGTAGAAATATTTTTAAAATGTAATTAAAAGGAATGGGGAATACATGAAATATGGGTAGAGTGAATAAGCTCTTCAAGTGACTTTGGAATATTTTAAATTGCTAGGGTACTAAGCTCAAATAATATTTAAATCTAGCTGGAATTAAGTACCATTAGGCAATTAGACAACCAGGAGGATGAGAAAGCACAGGCCCATTTCATGTAATCAGTCAAATCACTTTTAATTTGATTTCTCATTCCGTGTTTTCTGTCCTTTCATTCATTTGTATTGATAAATAAGAGAGTAGAGGGAAAAAGGAACTGTCCAAACTATAAGTAAAATAATATGGTTGGAGATGAGCTTGCACAGACAAATTGAACAATAAAAGGAAAAGATATTATTTTTTTAATGAGTTCAGTCACTTTTAGTTTAGGACCATCTTAAGTTCAATGAGGTCCCTCCCAAAGAGCAGATTGTAGTTTTTCTTCCTTTGCCTCCCCTCCAATAGCAGCTGTTTGCTTTGTTCCTCGTCAATGGGAGAGATGAGCTGTTTTGAATGAAATTTCTTATTTTTGTAATATATTACCTGTGTCAATTTAATAGAATTAGTTAAGACTGAATGTGTGCTTGTATCGGTTTACTTACATATATTAGTATGTAAGTATCCATTGAATATGAAAACATATATCATACAAATATAGATTCTAAGATGAAAATGAGCAGGAAAAAAAATACTAGGTGTGCTTAATATGGCATATGCCAGCTATGATTTTTTTTTTCTTCTTTCTCTCTGTCTATGCTTAATTTTTCTTAGCTGGATTTCATGCTTGGATTTAGACCAAGTTATCTTTGACCCTAAAATTGATGCTCTAGCCACCATATTAACAAGAGGCTCCTCCTCCAGGGACCCCTTGAGAGCATGTATGTTGTAAAAAGCATTTCTAGGAGCCTTCAGACCCAGCCTGGCAGAGATATAGAAAATGATGCAGTTCATGTAATTTCAAATAACATAGACTTCTGCCTTAGTTGTTTGCCCAAATCTGAATTTCTGGCATTAATAAAATGTTCATACTATTTCTAAAGGAAAGAAGATAGATACCAACCTACCAATTTCTTAGCACTATTTTAATGGGAAATTGAAACTTGAATAATTAAGGGGGGGGGTTAATTTATAAAGTTCTTTGTTAAATATATGAAAGTCTTCTGTTTGTAGGTATAACACAGTTTATATTAAACCAGAATTTCATAGCAGATTCTAAACTAGTATAAAATTTGTCTTAATTGTCATACAGGCAGATTCAATCTCTTCCCCTACACCCTGCCCCTGTGTGTGTGTGTGGGTGTGTGTGTGTGGGTGTGTGTGTGTGTGTCTGTGTGTGTGTCTGTGTGTGTGTCTGTGGGTCTGTGTGTGGGTCTGTGTGTCTTTCTATCTCCTTACATCCTTTCTTTTTTCCTTTTTATGGAAGTTCCTTAAAGAAAATAGTCTATTTCCTCTGGAAATCCATTTATCAGCACCTATTTTTCCTGTATTGATTGATCATATTTTCCTGGAGACTCAGAGTCAAGCATGCAGCTCTCCACACAGTTTTTTCATATTCAGTTCATGTATGGGACCACAAGTCACTTTCTAACAACTTTCTGGAATTCTGAAGCATAATTCTTTTATATTATTGAACGATATGTAAATACATTAATAACTTTCTTGGGGATGCATTTCCTAAAAATGTTTGCCTAAAGAATGTCCTCTGGAGAAAGGATAGTATTGATATAGCAGTTTCCGAAATTTATAAAAAATATAAGTGGTCGGGCAGATCTTGATTTTAAAATTGCATTTTTTTTTTCTTTCCTCTGTAATGTAACAGCTATTATAGAAAAGTTGAAGGCATTTAAGGAAGACATTGAAAGGTTTAGGTTTTGAGATTTAATAGGCCAAATGCCATCTGCTTCTGCAATTGGTAACATTTTATTATTAACAACCGGAGACGGAAGAGGCAGTCTATTTCGGGGGCGAGGACAGATTTCTGTCCATCTGTGCCCGCGTGGCAGCACATCACGGGTGCTGTGGATGCGCAGGGCTGTGAGCCACAGCGAGGCGGGGCCAAGGTCACGGGTGGGAGGACCTCAGCACATTCTGTCTCCTGACTCTGCAAACCAGAGCCTCGAGCTCCGGCCCGGGCAGCCATTCTGCTGGGCCCTGGAGCTGGGCCTTCCATGCCTTCATTTCAAAGGAAAATGTTAACTTGAACCATTTCACAATATCAGACAAGTGATTTACGGTGTGCCTCTGGTTAATGTCAGGTTCCTTATTAGGGTGACTCATTTCTTAACAGATAAAAGTGTGTAGAGGACTTTCCTGATCTTTTAAAACCCTTTTCACTCCCTCCGTCATCACGGTGGGGTTGGCATCCATGTGCGATTCTGTCTTAACTGCAAAATAGCTGAAGACAAGAGAGCAGGGTGTGAAGGCGGACTTCCAAGACTCTGTGAAGTGTTGCCTGCTACTGCCCGATACTTCATTCTCCTTGTGAGAACACTTGGCATGTGGCATCTCTGAGTGCTTTTATTTTCTCTTTCCCGTAAAAGTGCTTACCAGATTGTGGTGGAGGAGCTGCACCCGCACCGGACGAAGCGAGAGGCGGGAGCGATGGAGTGCTACCAGGTCCCTGTCACCTACCAGAACGCCCTGAGCGGGGGTGCGCCCTACTACTTTGCCGCCGAGCTGCCCCCCGGGAACCTGCCTGAGCCTGCCCCCTTCACCGTGGGGGACAACAGGACTTACCAGGGCTTTTGGAACCCCCCTCTGGCACCACGCAAGGGGTACAACATCTATTTCCAGGCAATGAGCAGTGTCGAGAAGGTAAGCCTCCTGCAAGATTTGCTTCTTCCCTGCCCGGAGATACAGCTGCAGACAGATGTTACCAATGCTCAGGAGCATCATCTGTCAGTTAAAAAAAAAAAAAAAAAAAAGCTGGGGGAAGGGGGGTCCTTGATGTGTAGGGGAGCTGTTGCTTCTGCTCCCAGCAGTGTGCATGGTTTTGAGCCGGGGGCTCCACGTGTTCCCTTGCACAGGATCCCTGTTTCCTAGTAACTGCTTCTATGAACCTGCTTCCAGCAAGCTCACAAGAGCAGTTGTGAGCAAAACACTTTGGGAAGGGGTGTGTGTGTGTGTGTGTGTGTGTGTGTGTGTGTGTGTGTGTGTAGGGAGGGGGGGACTTGCTGCTGGGACTGGAGCCCTGGTGAATATGGGCCATTGTTCTGTCCTCTTGGCTCAGGAGTGGCGCACTTCAGAAGATTACAGCGACTGCAGGACCAACAGAAAGCGTGCTCCGCGGCAGGCTAATAAACCCTTACAAACTTCTCAGGGGGGTACAAGCCGAGTAGTAAATAACAAGTAACAATCCCCCGATTACACACAGGACGCCTGCGGTCCGGCTGACAGAACCTAAACAGAAGGCTGCCCGGCGAGGGCTGGATGCTGGGCCCGTGGAGGAGTCTGTTTTCCAGCCTCCTGGCCGCCCCTCCTTTTCCCATTTTGGACGCAGTGGTGTTGAGCACCGCCGCTGATCCCCAATGAATATTGAAAAGGAAAACACAACAGGAAGTTAGAAGTTACCAGCGGCTCCATGCGCGGGGAAATAACCTGGCCTTTCATGCCTCATGCTGGTCCCTGTGAAAGATTTTCTTCCCTAAAACTTATCTAATTTATCTTTTCCCGGAGAGAGATAGAAAAAAAAAAAAAAATACATTAAGAATAGAAAATGCCCACCATTTGGAATCCACTAGCACAATGACATTTTTTGTTTACGTGTAGCTTTATAGGAAATTGCTGGGTCTGGGTAATTGAGTCCCTGAGGTGGGTACCTGAGAGCTGCTGTGAAGTATGTGCTATCTAGTTGCAGCAGTTATATGTGGGAATAGTTTAACTGGAAGACATAACAATGCATTTATATTTCTGCAGGGACCGTGAGAGAGTAGGGTATTGACTGGTTGCTTTTGAATGAAAACTTTACCTTCCTGCTTACTCTAAGGGGTTGGTTTAAAAGAATATGGCAGAGGAAAATGCCCCAGACCATTTTGTAAAATGCACCCCAGAGCCAGAGAGGTGAAAATGCTCTTCTCATCTTCTAGTATATTTTTTCATGGGAGGGAATCTTTCCAGGCAAGTCAGCTGCCCCCTTCCCTCCTGCACATCATTCCCTACCTTTGGTAATACCAGGCTGTTCAAAAGACAAATGACTGTAGAAGTGAATATTCCATTCTGGACATAGAGAAACAGGGATAGAAAGCATACCTCTGTGTTTGGGTATTCATATATAGAGAGATGATAGAGTACAATTTGACTTTTGTAATTTCGTATGAGGATTATTAATGAATGCATGTTATTTATAAAAGGATTTTATGTGGCACTCTGTTAAAGCTTTCCTGCCCTAGCCAGCTTGGCTCAGTGGATAGAGCATCAGCCCGCAGACTGAATGGTCCCAGGTTCGATTCCAGTCAAGGGCACTTGCCCAGGTTGCGGGCTCAGTCCCCCATAGAGGGTGAGCATGAGACAGCCAATCAATGATTCTCTGTCATCATTGATATTTCCATCTGTCCTTCCTTCTCCCTTCCTCTTGGAAATAAAAAATATATATTTTTTAATGAACAAAAGCAAGCTTTCTTATGCACAGCCTCTTCTAAATGTTACTTTATCTACACGTGTTATAATCAAAGTACAGAGTAACAACAATATATTTCAGTTCCCCTGGCAAAGAGTTTTTTAATTGGCATGGCTCCTACCAGCGATGATTGGTAATCCTGATAGAGTTAACATTTGCTTTTAGGAGATCCAAATCCTTTCAGGGCTCTGCAGGAAAGTGAACTAACCTCTGGCCGTTCACTGTGAAGGCCTGAGGTCACAGTGAAGGAATAGAAGTGCATACTTTCATGTTTAATTACTGGTTCCCTTCAAGACTTTATTTTACTTAATTTAAAAATAAATGATTAAGAGAGAATTGTAAGCTCTTAGTTTATCAAGATATAGAACTACTCAAGATGCAGTTATAAATGCATCTAAAAAACAAATAGCCCCTGTCTTGTTTACTGGCTTTAACATCTTTTCCAACTTCTTGTATATTCGAACATTGAGCTGACTGAGCTTAAGTCTGGGAATTGTAGGTCTAAAGTGTGTTCCAACTCCCAGTGCCACCCCAGAGCATTAAAAAAAAAAAGGAAAAGATGATTTGTGTCCTTTCAATGTCTACTATTTCCTATCTGTCTAACAAGAGGAGGAAAATAATCACACCAAGTAAGATTTATTCCCTAACAACTAAATTAAAAAGAAAAAAGAACATAAATTATGTTCAGATAAATTATGTTGCAACTGTGATGTAATTTATTTTACTCCTCACACAAGGAGTTTTTCTAATTGATTTTTAGACAAGGAGAAAAGAGAGAGAGAGAGAGAGAGAGAGAGAGAGAGAGAGAGAGAGAGAGAGAGAGAGAGAGACACTGATATCAGCTGCCTCCCATACTCAACCTGACCAGGATTGAACCTGTAACTAAATATGTGCTCTGATTGGATATCGAACCCACAACATTTTAGTGTATGGGAGGATGCTCCAACCAACTGAGTCACCCTGCCAAGGTGTGAAGTAGTTTTTTTATGGTTTTAACTATTATTAAACTCTTTAGTCCTGGAAGGCTCCAAGTGACAGTATGCACTGCCCAGCTTTGGTCTGAGTGTGCAGTTTATATTCAGATCTGATTTGTATTAGCTTTTCAAACATGTTTTCTTTCTGATTATTCAAAAAGTACAAAATGCAAATAGAATGCCAATATACTTGTCCCAGACATGACAGCCTGTTTCATTACAATATCAAAAAGAACACCTAAATGTTTAGAAAAATATTGAGGGGGAAATTTAAGTTCTTATTTGTTGTTCATTGTTGTTGCTGTTAATCCTTACTGGAGGATACACTTTTCCATTGCTTTTAAGAGAGAGTGGGAGGGATGGAGAGGGGAAGGGAGAGGGAGAGGGAGAAGGAAAGAGGGAGGGAGAGGGAGAGGGAGGGAAAGGGAGAGGGAGAGGGAGAGGGAGAGGGAGGGGGAGAGGGAGAGGGAGAGGGAGAGAGAGAGAGAGAGAGAGAGAGAGAGAGAGAGAGAGAGAGAGAGAGAGAGAGAGAGAAAGAAGAAGAAGAAGAAGAAGAAGAAGAAGAAGAAGAAGAAGAAGAAGAAGAAGAAGAAGAAGAAGAAGAAGAAGAAGAAGGGAAGAGAAGAGAGAAACATTGATGTGTGAGAGACATTGATTGGTTGCCTCCACACACACCCCAATTGGGGCCAGGATGAAATCTGCAACAGAGACATGTACCCTTGATCTGGAATCGAACTCGTGACCCTCTGTGCTCTGGCCAACACTCTAACCACTTAGCGCACTGGTCAGGGCTTAAGTCTTTATCTTACATTTAAAAAATTATCTGAGAATACATATAAAATACATATAAATTGTATTCTTTATAAGCCTATTTTATAACCCCACATTGATCTTTATAATGGTTATAGTTTATGAAATAGGAAGCCTGTGTATACACTGACTATTTTCTTTCATTTTTACTCCATCAGGAAACTAAAACCCAGTGTGTACGAATTGCTACAAAAGGTAAGAGGTTTGCTTTATTTTCTTTTTCAAATTTCATTATCCTGCTTTCTAAAATGAAAGAGCTTTGTTCCCTGCTTCAGGACTAATTACATGTGGCGCTTCTATTAGAGTTTTGTAGTAGGGCTCAGTTAAACTGCCGGCCAAGTCCTCTGACTCACTTGGGTGTCTTTAACATGAAATGGTGCTACTTTTCGTCCTGTAGGAATTGACTGGAGGGATCTTGATATGAGAATAGGAGGGATTTAGAAACCCTTAGAAGGGCTTTTTTTCCTGCCATTTAGTGTCTGAAAGGTCTTGTGTTGCTGATCAACCAAGGTATTGGAAAAGCCCGGCAATATCAATTCAAACTCACAAGGTGCGCGTTTAAAAACCATCGTCACTTTCTCTGGTAGACGATCAAAGGTAAAAAGAAGCAGGCTGGTCCGTGCATGTGGAAGAGCATAGGTATGAAGGCTGGTCCATAACTTCATCAGTGGCGCAGGCTCATTGGAGATGCTTTACTTTTTTTTAATCCAACTGATGCCAAGAAATTAGATCTATGATGGCTAATGGCCAGGGCAATTCCTACTACAATTTATAGTATAGCTCTGTTGCCTAGTTTTGGTTTTTTTTAGAAAACATTTTCATCTTCGAATGAGTAGATTTCAGAGTGGGAGAAAATCCCCAGCAATCACTGTGTTTTTAATCTTTCATTTAAAACTTAAGGGAGAGAGAGAGGTTGGTGTATTTTAACAAGAGGAACAAGAAAAAAGCTGTCTGCATGCAGACATGGGCCTCTGTGGAGAGTTGGCGCTCTGGGTTGTTTGCCGCTGGAATTAGTATTAGACCCACGTTCATGACCAGTAGTTGATTCCTTTGGGTAAAAATGAATGGCTATATTCTGTCTGTGCTGGCATCATTCCTTTCATCATTTTTTCTCATCTAATCATCAGTCTGCTCAATTAAGCATTTGTGTTATACTCCTGTTTGTAAAAGCAAGAGAGACGTTTTTCTTGACTCATGAGAAGTAATAAAAAAGCTTTACAGAAGCGGAAATAAGTACACTTTTCAATTCAAATGCTGTGATTCCTCATGATATTTAAAAAAAACAATCTTTAATGAAGGGAGAGAAAAAAATATATACAGATGCACATAATGTACAGCATTTATTTTATTTTAAAAACAGCTCATGGGTCAAGAAGTAGAGTTGAAAATTTTAAAGATAGTGGCAGAGAACATTTATGGGTAAACATATAAACTCTGTTTTTCCAAACTTAAAGCCAGAAATGTAACGTGGTCTTGCATCAGCTTCCAAAAAGATTTTTAGATATTTTTATAACTGAGAAAAGATGGGTATAAATGATTTAAATTTTTCCTTATTTGGTTATTTCATTATTTGCATTTATACAAACATTTGCCATTTTGTCCCTCTCTCAATACAAATAAAATTATAATGAAAAATATCATATGGGATTTAGACAGCAGGAGAGGTAAGCCAGACTTATCAGGTGGCACAGAATATCTTCCTGAAACTCAGAGGTAGTAAGAAAAAGTCCATTTGGGATCATTTCTTCTTTATTTAATTTATCCTGCTGTGCTCTGGATCTCCAGATTGGCGGTGTGATTTAATGAGAAAGAGAAGAGGACCCTGGTTCTGGATTATCTGGGTTCATATTCTCCTGATTTTACCCTTTACTATTCTTTAACATTTGCAAACATTTAACCCCTCCCTCCCAAAAGGTGCATAATAGTGTATTCAATCCTCACTATTATTGTGAGTGTTAAAATAGTTTATACCTATATATGAAACATTGAGGGCAGAGGGAACACATGCCAAGACCTTGAGGGGAATGTGTGCTTGGCTGCATGGAAAGTGGACTCAGACCCTGAGGATGAAACAGACTGCTCTTCATTAGTGATTTCAGACTTCAGCTTGAGTCAGAATCCTGTGGAGGCCTTGTTAAAACAAGTTGTTGGGCCTCAACTGCAGAGTTTCCAAGGCAATAGGCCTAGGGGAGGGCCCAAGAATGTGTATTTCTAACAGGTTTACTGCCATCACTGCTGCTGTAGTAACCACACTCTCTGAGTACCAGTGCTCTGAACAAATCACGCGCACCCATGCCATGTCCACCAGAGTACTGTGATTACTAGAAGACCACTATAGTACTCATTTCTCTAATATAATTAAAGACTAGTCCTGAGTTATTTTTTGTAGCTAGAGTAGACTGATAGCATCAAATTGAGGATGCCAGTTGTTTATCAGAGATAATTTTATCACATCATGTCAACAGCATTCTAAATTATTGCTTTATTTCTAGAAATGCTGCCTTAGGAGACTAATGAGAATGATCCAACTCCTCTGCTCATATAACATTTCATAGACATTAATGAGCAAGGTAACATTATCTTGCAGAGCGAAGATGGCCAAACTCTTGGTGATAAGGTTATCTCTCTTCTAAACCACTTTTTAAAAAAAAACAAAAAAAAAAACACAACTGTCAATCAACACTGAGCCTAATTACATTTCTAGGGAATCATATTATATTAAATAGATAATGGTACGCTTAATAATGCTTCCCTCCCCTCCCCCAACCTCCACCAAACAGTCCAAGTTCTAATCTTCAAAATACTTTGCAGATATTTTAAGGATCTTGAGATAGAGTAATGATCCTGGATTATACAGGTGGACTCAGTAAGAGTTTCTATAAGTGGCATGTGGGAAGCTCACAGTCCGATGTGAAGACAGAAGCAAGGACTGGAGTGATGATGTGCTTTGCAGAAAGACAGAGGGGCCGTGAGCCAAGGAATGCACGGTTTTCAGGAAGCTGGATAAGACAAATGATTTTTCCCCCTTGTGCCTCCAGAAGGAACATAACCCAGTGAACTTCTTAATTTTAGTACCATAAGATTCCTTTAGGACTTCTGGCCTCTAGAACCATCAAGTAATAAATGTGTGTGGTTTTAACCCACTAATGTTGGCAGTTTGTTACAGCATAAAAGGTAACCAATATAGGTTTTTGTTTCTGGAACCTGGGTCCTACTGTAACAAATACCCAAAAATATGTAAGTGACTTTGGAATTGGGCAGTGGGTAGAGGCTTCAGAGAATTCTGGGAGCATGATACAAAATGCATAGCTTGCCCTTTAACAGTAGAAATACCAATGTTAAAGTGTCTGCTAATAAGGGCCCAGAAGATAGGGGGAGCATGTTTCCAGAAACTGGAGGAAAGGGAATTTTTGCTACGTGGCAGAAATGTAGTTGAGTTATGCCCTGCAGTTATGTGGGTAACAAAATATAAATGATGAACTTGGATATGTAGATGAAGAGGTTTTCAAGCAGTGTTGAAGGTGCAGCCTTTTTAGAAACTGGCAAATACAGAGCAGCTCACTCTCAAAAACTCAAAAAAAACATATTTGTTAATTGTACACATATTTGTTATTTGTTGATATATTTATATACTGGAAGTATAGATTCCCTATTTTAATCCTTTGATTTTGGAAAAGGCAAATACTAAATTTAAAAACAACAAACAACTTAAAGAACTTTTGTTCTTAGCAATTGAAAACAGGTCTTTGGAGTGAATCCGCACATCAGAAGATTATATTAGTTTTATTGCAAATGAGCTCTGCCTCTCTTTTTTCTATATTTATCCTGTTGTAGAATTAAAGGTCAAAATCCAGTTTGGTCTCGTTGAAATACATTTGCAGAGTGTTATAGAGCATTGGTTTATGATTATTGCTCCACAATAGACAAAATATTATTTATCCCCTATTTGTGTGGTGTCTGTCATTATGCATTCTATTCAGTTTTTTAATGAAATGTGAATTACTTTAAAGATTATCTCTCTGATAGAATAGATGGCATTAGAGTAGAAAGTTAATTGAATCTTTCTTGAATGATCACTATTGATAGAAGGAAAGACAGAAATTACATGGTTTTGAACTTGTTTTGTGTTTAGATTAGTCAAGTATTTTTTTTTTTTGTGGTCAGTTTTCTACTATTCCCTAATTACATTTATAAAATATTTTAGAAAAATTCTAATTCATTTTTTTAAATTTCTCAGATTTTGTGAAAATGAGATACAAAAAATGTCACATACTTGAGCATATTGTTTAGTGTGCTTTTAAAGACAAACAGTGAATGTTATTACCCAAACAGCCAAATAGTTCTGGATTTTTCATGTCCTGTTTTTGATACAGTTCACAACCTAGCTTCAAAGTTTGGAATCTTGTTCTTTTCTTACTTTTTTTTTTTTTACTCTTTTAAGAGCTCTTGCTGATTATCCAGGTAAAGAAATTACTACTTCTGCTTCATTGTTTAAGGAAATGCAGAAATTAATGTTGGTAAATAGTGGAGGTGATAAAGTAATTCTGGCCACACTTTATATATCCTAGTAAGAACAGAAAGGTCACAGTTTGAGGATCAGTGACCCTTAAGTAAATATTCAAATTGTCCTTTTAAATCATTGTTATTCTTCTTGAGAGATGTTTGCGTGTGCAGGTGTGTCTTCCATATTGTAAATTCAGAAAGTGGTGTTTTAATTGCTGGCTGCTTCTGTTACTTACAAATAACACCTGGCTTTGCATCTGTTCCTCTTAAAATGCCACTCTTTGCCAATGAGGAAACCAATTCTTGGTCTATTTGCTGCAGTTATTTCCCAGATGAACCTCCAACTGGGCTATGCTTTTGAGATAGGATTTCACTGTATTAGTAAGACTTTGCTCTGCTTACCCCGATAACCATCGTCTCAGGTTTGACCTCTTAATAAAAAGCTGCTCTGAATTTGCCAGTGATTATTTTTCTGACAAGTTCAGCTCCTAGGGGAGATAATTGAAGTAAGTGTGGTTTACTGTTGGTGGTCTAACAGTATACTCAAGACTACAGCAAGTATGAAAATTTTTGTAGAGAGACAAGGAAGAAAGAAAATTAAAGGTCTCATGAGAGTATGTAGCTAAATCACCTCATGTAATTTTGGGACTTATCTCGAGGCTTCCTATCACATCACTTCTCAGGAGTAATGA